CAGTCCAGCGACGCCGAGCAGATGAGAAAATTGATCCTGCTCGTGCAGAGGCATCGCAAGCTGTTGCGGTATCTATCGGCTTGTTTTTTATTTTTTTTTTTTTTAATTTTTTTTATTATTTGTATTTAATCTACGATTCGTTTCTGTCGCTCAGTCTCTGCGAGACGCTCAGGCAGATGTACAATCCCGTGATCGGAGTGCTCGTGCTGATATCATCGGTCAACATTTGCTTCAACATCTTCGAGATGAGTGAGGTACGTATCGTATTATTCGAAAAAATGCTACAAAACTACCTATGACTTTGATATACTTGACGCATGGATATCGATGAATTTTCCGGATTGCTATTAACCCCTATTCTTCTCCCTGATCGAAGAGCTGATGATCTTAGATTTTTTTTCTATCGCATAATCGTATTTTATGTGAAAGAATGAATTGGTAAATCCATTTAATATTACATTTTTTGAATGTTATACTTTTGATCTGCTATATTTACTATCCGACGCGATCAATAAAGAAAAATAATTCAACAGATTTTTTACTTGTAATTATTTATTAATATGTCTTGCATTTGGTACAGAAATATATGTGAGTATATTTATTTTTATTTTTTAATCGCTATATACATTGGAAATAAATTCTATTGTTTGCATGATACAAATAAATTATCTACTCAGCATTAGTCTACTGGCATGCTATAAAAGACTTTCACATCGCAGCCTTGATCATTTTTGTGAACTTCAAATCCGACACCCGGTGGTAAAAAGTGGGTGAAGTCATTGATTAATGTAAGATGTTCTTGAAATAAGTAATAAATCCTGGTGATAACTCCTGGAGTATCCATGTCTCCAGACTTGAACTCGTTCATAATCCTTAAGAAATCGTAGTAAACCTGTGGCTGATACCGAAATTGATATTTAACTTTATCAAGATACGATAGGGCATCCTCAACGCTGACTCTTATGTCTGATTTTCTTGAACATAGAAACTCTTGGACAAAATTACTGGACTGAGACATAACTTCTTCATCCGAACCTGTCACAGTTTTTTCATCCGAACTTGACACAACTTTTTTATCCGAACTTGACACAGCTTCTTCATCCGAACCTGATACAGTTTCTTCATCCGAACCAAACACCGTTTCTTCATCCGAACTTGACATTACACTAGTTGACATTTCTTCGTCTTCCACTGTAAAAGAAAATATATATAGTCAGATCATAGAAGAGGAGAAGATGTCGAGGAAATTGCTCCAGTTTTTTTAAAACATAACAGAAGCAGTTCATAATTCCACGGTTTGAATCGTACGCGCCATATCGTATCTGAAGTGAAGGCGGGGCTATGGCGTTTTATCTTGCTCGACAATGTTAAAATCTGGCCCGTGACGTCATAGCCCCGCCTTCAGATCCCAATACTATGTATCTTCTTTCACGGCTCTCGGTGGGATAAGTCACTTTCTAATCTGGGAATCGGATGTAACGTGTGTTTTAACGATATTTTCCACGAATATAAGCCTAGTTGCGTTTATATGTGGAAAAGCGAATTGAGAAGAATTTCCGGTAAATATTCAATGCAACACATGGCATTTCATCTAGTAAATGAAATTATTTACGAGTCATCGAGCATCAATACAATAGAAGAAGAAGAAGAAGAAGAAGAAGAAGAAGAAGAAGAAGCAGGCGAGACCGTAGCAATTGATCGTACACGAATGTCAAGCAACACGAATCAAAACACGTGCTCGACATAAGAGATTTTAATGAAGTGTTCAATGAAATCGTTTTAACTAGTTGTTTGACGACACGTTACTTTTTAGGTTATAAAAGGCGGATAATTGAAAATCAAGTTTGCTTAAAATTACCGTTTAATTGAAACCTAATGACATGAGCACATTTTTATTAGTTTCATAGTCACTCCCATGAAATTTCAAGTTTAATGGTTCACTAGAGAATACAAAAAATGCGTGCACCTTTCAAAATAACTGATACGATTTTGGAGTGTTAATTTTTTCATATTATAACTGTTGAATAAGTAGTTAGAAGTATTGATTTATAACACTAATTAGTGTACTTACTTTCGTTTTTGTCCGTGGATAATTTTTCAAGTACAAGTAATTTTTAAATTGTCTCTCTGATACGTGCACCCACACCTACGCACACATTCGCGATTAGACAGACGTCAAGATTTATGCAGGTATCTATTTGTCGTGTTGTGTAATAACAATTGTTATAAATGTATACTTACTTCTTGTGAGGGCTAATTGAAGTTGATCGGATCACCGAAGGCTTAAATTTTAATTTCGAGGATTATGAAGCCGAAACGACGGGCGGCTAAGCCAACTTGGGTTGTACACGATTGAGTGTTTCAATCACAAATGACGATGCCGGAGAAAAAATGTCACGCAGTAAAGCACGCGGAGGTTTCGAGAGATGCTACCATCCAACATAGAGCGCTAGCATACAATCGGAAAGATACGTTTCACTTTCCAGAAAATAGTCAGCGCGATGCTCACGCTTACTCTAATGAAATTCGAAATGTCATGAAAAGTTTCATGAAAAGTAAAGTATAATCCGTCAGGAAAACGTGTAAGGGGACACCAAATTCTCAAATTTATCAAAAAAAAAATTTGATTCTTTCTTGATGAAAGGAAAAATATTCCTTCATCTTTGCATACATTTTCACTCCGTTATTTTAAGTTTTCTATTTTTTTAATGTGAAACGTCAGTTGAAACAAAGTTTCTAATTGAATAATTAATCCTATACTTCACTACTTTGAATAGTTATACGAAATTTCATTTCATTTCATTTAGTAATTTTTACAGAAAACAGGATCAAAGTTTTTGATTGCGAAAACGATAATCGAAAAAGCTTTACATTAAATTTTAATCTAAGACATAATTAATAAAAATTTTATAGGTAAACCATACTTCAATTTATGCAATTTATTTCACATTACCACTTGCAGATTTACAAATAAAGGTACTCGCCATCTAGCGGTGAAAGCAGACTTTTATTACCATCAAATTTTCTTCAATATTTTGATTCATTATTGCTTTAAAAAATGCTACCAATTCACAAACACATTACATTATAATACATTGGCAAAGAGCTTCCTCCTAAGCCAAATTTGTAATATATTTTTGACTTTTAATCAGACGCATTCTCCACAAAAACATAATTGGGTTACCTGAAAGAAAAAATTGAAGTACAATTTTTTTCTATTCTGGCAAATAATTAAAAACTTATTAATCTATGAATTCTTGATCACAATCTTACTCATTCGTATAATACACGTGAAAAGCCCACATCCATAATAAATGTATACTGAAATAAATCTTATGAGTATGTTACATTACGCGAGTATGATCATAAAAATAGTAAAAGCAATTAAAGTACTTCCGCGTAATGTAATGATTGACTGTAGCACAGGTATTCGGGAGAAATTCATATAGCCATGATCCAAAAGACTCCATTATAATGCATATGTAGATCTTAATCGACAATGTGTGATCATAAAACTCAGGTGCGGCATAATAGCGTCGTATATTACCGAGTGTTTTAGTCCATATAGATAAATTAAGATAAAAAGGAGATCTTTATTAGAATTTACGAGGCTTTCATTTGATCAGCTCATTTGATCAGCTGCTCTTATGAAAATTTCCTATAGGATCCCGCGAAATTTGTACATGAGTTTTATAAGATTCCAGCAGGAATTTCGCGGAATCAGGTAGGGAATTTTTATAAGGGTGGCCACATGGCTCCATCTTAAATATTTCAGTTAAAGTGTTTACTTAAGTTGATCTTTATGTTATCGTATTGAAATTGTACTTTTAGTCTTCAGATGACGTTTATGCCGCGGATAATTTTTCTTCGCTGTCGAATTGAGTTTATAGGTAGGACACCATGTCTAATATCTCTCACGGCTATATTTTATGTTTCTAAAATCAGAGCTTTGTTGCAGTCTAATCGAATCTTTGGATCGTGGCGATATAAATTTCTCCGGAATATCTGTGCTACAGTAAATCCTTACATTAATGGCCTTTTATAATTTTTATAATCATACTCGCGTAATGTGATAGTAAATCCAACTTAATTAATCAATAATGAAGGTGTTAAATTCAAAAAAGGCCTAGATACTATGCATTGTTTTTAAATGCAATATCTCATTGATTAATTGAAAACCAATGGAATATATCGACAATTCAACAATAAAAGAACAAATTTTCATATTCCGTTTGAAATGTTCGTTAGTTATTTCAATTTTTTACAATTAAAAATGCAATAACTATTATAGCTTCAATAATAAGCTCGTGTGTGTTTGTGTCGTATTGCAGGAAATGTCGGAGGGGAAGTATTCCACAGGCTTGGTACACGCCAGCATACTCACGATGACGATGTTACAAGTGTTGTACTACTGCTCATTCGCTGAAACTCTGCGCGAACAGGTGTCAAACACTTGCCCACATTACTATAGAACACGAGCTAATTTTAAACGATGGCACGTGGAATAATCACCAAGATTTATTTTCTTTTTTTTCGGTCTCGCATCTATAGGCAGAACTGCTAGCCGATTCGATTTACAGTTCGGACTGGGCCGATCTTGATGCAAAATTACGACGGGATTTGCTGTTCTTCGTGACCAGAGCCCAGATACCAGTTGAATTTACGGGATTCAAGATCTTTCGAATCAATCATCGGCGAATCACATCTGTATGATAAAAAAAACAAGGGTATGCTCTTGTACAGGATATAACGTTCTTATTTTGCAGATATTGAGAAAGTCCTACACGTTTTACATGGTACTGCAGACGAGTAAATGAAAGATTACGGAGAAGAAAATTACGTGGCTTCAATCTCGATTATTAGCTTTTCTAGAGGTTCACGACAACCAAAGCTCTCATGATTTATTATAACTACATTTTAATTCTGTTTGAGCTTGTGCCTTAATGATGTTGTACATTGAACTAAAATAAGCTCAAACGAAAAAATGAAAATTCAAGATAATTATAGAAAAAATTGATAAAATTTTATTATTTTATTGATACAAGGTTATTGTTCGTACTGACGAAATAAAATCACAATTTATATCAAAGTTTTAACAGTACGTCAATTGTAATATCTCTAATTTTATTACTTTTTTAATGACAGTCCAATCCAATGAAATTTTTGTGATCAAACTAGTATTTCCATGAAATGAATACATTGAAACTATGCGATACGTAACCAATGCCTTATTTACAATTTGTTTCTATTGGTGGTGCAATAAGCACAGCTAAAGTTGATTAGTCATCATCATGTGTTTCAAATTTATAACCTGGTGGTAAAAATTGGTTCACGCCAACGAATAATTCATCATGTTCATGGAATAATCTACGAATTTTGTGCATAAATTCTCGAGTATCTAATGCTCGATTTTTACATTTCTTCATCAAGCTTAAGAAATCATGGTAAACCCAAGGCTGATCCTTAAATTTATTTTTAACCTCATTAAGATACGATAGGGCATTTCCAAATATGCGTGCTTGAGTCCTCGATACCAAATCACTAGACTGCGACACAACTACTTCGTTCGAACTTGAAGTGCTATCGACTAACATTTCTACATTTTCTTCTGTAAAAAAAAACACAACTGCGGTTAAGTAAGATCATATAATTTGAAAAGGCATCGAGGAAAATAGCTCCAGTATTGTTAAAACATAATAAAAGCTGTACATAATTCCACGATTTTTCCACCGATTCGTACGCGTCATAATATATCAATTGGAATTCGTAATGGAATCTTAGATCGCTAGATACGGCGGGATGAAACATGATACTGTTTCTCTTTCTAATTTGTCGATAGACGAGATACGTCGCAATCGAGTTACTTGTTATTATTATGCTTTTAAAATATCACGAGTTCCTCGGGAAAATCATTGGGAAGTTAAATTTTCGAATTAGATTAGATGCATGCATGCATCTGACAATATGATACAAGGCATTGCTACTACTCGATGAATTATATTTAAAATAACATTGAAAATTCATTTACTCGTAATTATTCATCAACACATTTCACGGTTTGCGAAGGAACGTACATCTTCACTTCAATTGTTTAAATTTGGGATCAAATTGGTTTTTATACAATACAGATGAATTAGAATTATCCAATATTAAACCATTGCATTACTTACCCGTTGTTATTGTTGCTGGTGAAATAGACATGCCTAAAAAGATTCTGACAGCGTTGCCTTGATCATTTGTTGTAACTTGAATATTGTAACCGGGTGCTAAAACTTGATTGAAGCCAACGATTAATTCAGGATGATCTTGGAACATGTGACCAATCCTGCGTAAAACTCCCAGTTGATCTATTTCTCCAGACTCATAGTGTTTCATCAAGATCATGAAATCTTTGTAGAGCTTGGGCTCGTTGCGAAGTTTCGCTTCAACTTGATAGAGGTACATTTCTACCACGTTTACTGTAAAAGAAAATATACATGGTCAGATTATAGAAGAGGAAAGATTTCGAGGTAAATTGCTCCAGTTTTTTTTAACATAATAAAAGCTGAACATAATCCCAAGCTTTTTTTTCTGAGTCGTATGCACCATATCATATCTGAAATGAAAGCGGGGCTATGCCGTTTTAGCTTGCTCGATAATGTTAAAATCTGGCCCTTGACGGCATGGCCCCGCCTTCAGATCCCAATGCTACGTATACGGAAAAAATGGCACACGGCTGTGAGCCGTACAAAATATTCACGCACGCGTGCTCATGAAATAGCCGTGCATGCACAGGAAAAAGCTGGGCATGAGCAGCGCAGCGCTCATCGCGCGTCAGTCGCATAGCACGACACTTATTGTCGAAATTACTCATTTTCTAACACGCGGGAAAATCTCCTAAACCTACTCAAAAAAAAATATATGACATACTACATCGACGGAAAATTTTCTCAGTTTTTTGATGGTGTGTTTAGATTTTCCGAAAAAACTATTTTTCTTCGGATAATTAAAAAAATTAACTTTTAACATTAAATATATTAAAAAGCGTAATTTTAAGATTTTTTAAAATAGTCTAGCCCGAAAGCTGAAAAAATTTCCCATCGATATGCAAGTTTTCATAGTGTGAAAATAATTATTACTTATAAAACCACAGCGATAAACGTGTAAAAACGCGTTTTTACACATTCATCGATGTAGTTCAGCTAGTAAAAATGAAAGGAACCATCTGTAAAATGTATATTCAGATGAAAATTTTCTCAGCTTTCGATCTAGACTATTGTCAAAAATCTTAAAATTACGCTTTTTATATATTTTTAATGTTAACAGTTTCATTTCTTACGTGGCTTAGCTACTTCCTCCTCACCTGACTGAACTGGTACCTCCTCATGGGACTGAGTTCGTATCTCCTCAGGTGGCTCAGCTACTTCCTCCTCATTTTGCTGAGCTGCTTCTTCCTCACGTGGCTGAGTTGGTATCTCCTCAGGTGGCTCAGCTACTTCCTCCTCATTTCGCTGAGCTGCTTCCTCCTTTTTCATGTTGTGGGATGTAAATTGAATGACCAAACCAACGATAATATTCAAGAAATTTTCTAAAATTTGATTCTATATCCGTTGCGTAGAGCAGATCGTGTGGTCTTTTGCAAGATGTAAACACAGAGTGAGCGAAAGTTTTAGTGGTCTTCAAATTGAACGAGATTTATCGTCAATTTGTACTAACATTGCTACATTACTGAAAAGAATAATAACTCACCCGGTGTATGGAAAAATATTTGAAAAATTCGTTGTAATGGGAAAAATTTTGAAAATTGAGAGTTTTAATGCAATGAATCTATTTCCAGTCGTAATTAAGCATAAGCATTGCTTTTCTAAGTTGAGGTATTATATTTTAGCTTTGTAAAAAGAGAAAAAAAATTTCATTTCAAAAACCAAAAGTTTGATTGATCTGATTGAAGTTATAGCTTAAGCTTTAAATAGTCAAAATTGTCAAAATTGAAATCCTGGCTCGACGGCGTCTTGGCATCCAAACCTGCAGGCCACATGAAAATGGATTAATCTAAATTCGTCGGTGTAATTCACATTAAAATTACTGTATATCTAAAAAAGGCTAGGAATAATATCCAAAGTCTTATATGCATCTCTAGCAGCATGATGCACTAGTGTGGTACGACGTGGACTTTTTTTGTAACTGGTGCGAATCAATAATTTATTTTCCCTCATAATTGTTTAGATTTAATACACATCTTTGCGGCCCCCTCTAGATGCCAATCAATTTCTTCGCGACGAAAAATGTCTCCAAGATTCGGAAGTGAGCCCTGCTTCCAAAATATGATGAAAATTACGAACTGATCGAGATATCTACATCTCTCTTTATCGATCTCCCAATTGACTTTTTCGCGTATACTTTTCAATTTTTTAGGATCGAGGAGTTCGTCGATGAAAATCATGATATCAATGTGATTTCGGCGTGGCACTGGAGATATACATTTTTACATAGCTTTTTTATCGACCATTGATTCTGTTGAATTTTCGACGTGTCCTTAGAATGTTTAAGAATGTTCCAAGACAAGAAATGTCTACTGGCATACTGATATAATGTAGGTACTTGAAAAATATTGCTTAAATTTTGTATAGCTCAATAATGGTGTATAATTAGTATATTTTGCACCTAGGGAGTGAAAAATTGGAAAGTCTCAACGCACGTGTAATTTATCATCCGAGGCGAAGCACATTTTCAGGATCACATTTTCAGGAGAAAACTCAATGCATTGTCATTGTTTTTTTCTTGTTAATTTAACAAGTTATTATTTGCCATTTTTGTACTTTCTTCTTTAAAGTAGATTTGCATCGTGAATAATAATTCACATCTTCATAATTGCATGATAAAATTCATTCAAAATGAAATCTCACTTAGAAATTATATTATGAAATTTGATTCTATTTAATTTTTGCTCTGAAATCTTTTAAAACTCATTCTTAATTATTACATACTACAAAGTATTATAACAAAATATCTTCCTAAATCGTGTAAAAAAGTTGCTTTGAAATCTCTGTTGTCCATACCTTTGACAATGTCTACGTCCATTTCACTCTGAAAACTACGGTTCTCGTCCGATCACCGAATATAAACTGGGTTGAGCGCGGTTAGTACTTGGATGGGTGACCGCCTGGGAACCCCGCGTGACGTAGGTACTCCTTCTTCTGACTTTTTCAAGCATTTCAACATTTTACTCTTGAGTTTTTTCATTTTTATGTTTGTAATTGCTGTCCTCAAATATGTTTGCTAACAATTATTGAACAGACAGTAACTGCTACAAAATCATAATTTAGAATTTGTTTCTAAGGTTGTACTACTCTGAAATAGTATTAGATTTTATTGAAATAGTGTTAGATTACATTTTCATCATTAAGATATTAAGAATATCTCGTCAAGAGATTTTTTTCTCGTTGATGACGTTAATATCAAAAACATCTATATAAACATCTCTCTGAGGCTCATAATTGAGACGTACTTAAAAAGATCTTTTTTTACACGAGATTGCATTAAAAATGACCAAAAAACTTGGTACAAATTAACTGGGATATCTTCTGCACGTCAAATAGACCAATTTCACTATTTCTAGCAACATTAATTCAAAAAGTGGTACACCCTTCTACGTAAAATCAACAAGAAGTAATCAGCATTTTTGCACTTTATAAATTAATTATGAAAAATATTATGACATCTATTTTAAATTTCAGAATTATCCAAGTCGTGATGTTCATTATTGAATCAAAGATGATGCGAGTTCAGAGGTGAAATGAAACAGTCAAGAAGTTAATTGTTATAACTTCATCTTCGTCAAAAATCGCATTACAATTTTGTTTTTAAAAAATATGTAGCGGTGAAATCCAGACGTCGAATTACAATTGCGAAAGTTGATATAATTTGAAACTAGATCAGAGCTCACGAGAAGAAAATATAGAATTGAATTGGCAACTGTACGAGAAAGAGACGATCGAGCGATATGTTTGTTTATAATAAATGTACGATGGAAGCCTACACAATAGATTCATTTTTCAAGATGTTATTTTTCACGAGCCTCATTACAGTATCAGGGGATATAATTAGCATGAATAATTTCTCGAGTAAGCTATTCATCCACCCATAATTGTATTACGTCTCCTGTGTACTTTACATGAATAATCTCTGCTGCGCTCTATAATGATGCCGCCTAGACCAAGCTTTAGATAGTTAATTATTCATACAGGTACAGTTTTCAATGATATAGGCTTGGTGCATTCGTCGTGTCGAGAACATGCGTTCGAAACTTGAAAGTTAGTGGAAGGAGAAAAAATGACACGCAGTGCAACGCGCGCGCGGTGGTACCGAGCGGTACTGGCATCTTACGAAGAGTACGAGAACTGCGCGGTACGGCTAGAAGCCGCAGCTAGTAAAGCTGTATTACCCCGTCGATACGAAAAAATACATCTAGACGTCATTATGTTTTTGCTCCGCCTCTCTAAATTAGATCTCGATACTGTATCTCTCAACGCGATAAACATGGCCAAGCCAATGCGCCATGACTGCGATGGCGCAGCACCTCGCCTAATGATTGATAAATTAAAATATGGCTGTATAAGATTTTCGCTGGAATATTTTTCAATATGTAATATAACGCCTATTGTATTATAAAATTATAGGGGAAAAAATTGATTCGAACGAGTTTGCAAGTATGACTGGAATTTTTTCTCGAAACAGTTAGGACTAAGCCAACAAACGCCGTTATGAATTGTACGTATTGTATACAGTTGATCATCTCAACGCTTTCTTTATAAACAATTAGAAACAGCAACAAGCAATGTTTAACAACATCTAATTCGAACGACGAACCTCTACCTTTTTTCATAGCGATGAGCTGTTTTTTCAAATCTAAAACTAAAGTAATGATATGTTTTTGGTTTCAAATCAGAACTTGACTGTTTTGCTTTCATGATAACTACGCCGAAATTCTATAAATTCTCTCGTTTATACAGTAAAAATAGTGCATATTACATTTGCTTTCGAGGTAATCGATATTTAATCCCTATTTAAATTTAATTATCGCCATAACAACACTATGTACTGTTAGTACTCGAAAATTCATTTAAATTTCATAGTATGCGCGGGCCCAAAAGCCAATGCGTGACATCTATTGCGCACTGCGCAACGCACATGTTGGAGGCTGAATCGTTCGGAAAATCTAATCTACTTTCTAAAATAAATGCTCATTCATTAGAAGTGTGCATTACAAGCATCAGTCTATATAAGTGCGCCAAGCTGTTCACATCTTCGTTTCAAATTCTACCTGTTTCAAGTGTAGGTGAGTTATTAGTTTCGATTACGTGTTCAGTAGAAGAATCCAAATCTATCATGGCAGAAAATGATCTTATAACTAATATTTTCATCGAGAAAACCTTAAGAGATTTATTGAGATTGTTTGAAATTGATACCTTTCAAATGGATTCAAAACAAATAAAGGAATTAAAAATTATGATAGAACTTGCGAATTCATCTTTATTATTCAAAATGGCATTGGACGAGAAGCTTTTAAATGTATTTATATTTGCGAAAGAGCACGTGGAGTTAAATATTCATAAAATATTTATTGACGGAAAGTCTGCAGTTCATTATTTATGTAAATATAAGAAGGACTTAAAAAACAAGTATCATAGCTATGATAAACCAAAAGTTATGTCCCTCATTGATTATTTTCTGAAATATTCCGAGGAAAATCATTGCGACGATCATGGATTCACCTATTTACACGGAGCCAGCTTCAAAGGCGATGTCGAGGCGGTGCAACGACTCGTAAGCCAAGGCGCGGACATCAATGTCGACTCTTACACGTGCTCGCCGCTGCACATGGCCTGCAAGTACCACCGAATGGACGTCGTGAAGGTCCTGTTGGAAAACGGAGCGGAACCAAATCATCTGGACAAAGAAGATGAGTCGACTCCGCTTCATGCGTTGGCCCGACTGCGTGTGTGCGACTGTCCCGAGTTCTGTACCGACAAAATAGACGACGACAAGAAAGAGAAGAAGAGAAGACCAGTCGAGGAGATCGTCGACTTACTCGTCTCGAAAGGAGCCAATATCGAGGCACGAAATGCTCGAGGTTTCACACCTCTGGAATCGGCGGTGTCGCTTTTGGACTATGAGCTGACAAAGCCACTCTTGGAACGAGGCGCGAGTCTGGACAGTTTGAGCGAGAATATTACGTTTAGCACAGATTATACATCATCCGAATTGCGTGATTATCCCATTACTTTTTACATCGCTGAGATGATTCGGTTGTTGTCGTCGAATGGATTTTACTGGAAAGTTGACACTCGACTGAAAATTTTGAAGTTTTTTATGAAATATCGCGATTTTTATATAAAAGATTTGATTCTGTACACCGAAAACGGTGAAGTGGATTTAATACGCACTGAGCTTTGCCTGACTCCTTATGAAGATTTTGGTTTTTATTGGGATCAAGAAACTGCCGATTACTTGCGTAAAAAACGGGAACAATCAAGATTAACAGTTCCTTCGCTTATGTTGGCGATGTTCAATTGTATTCCTGAAAGCATGTTCATCTACAATGCACCTGAAGTTGAAAAAATGAAAGGCATTATGGTGAATACAGACGTTTCGCTGTTAAAAATTGGTCGAATGAGTTACCAGGAAGCTTCATCCATTTTGAGCAAAATAAAAGATTATCGTTTACCAGCATTAAATGATTTAAAAAACTTCACTCGAAAAATAATAAAAAAACAGATAGCAAACGTTCTGTTGAGGCCACAATTCGAACTGTTGGCCGCCGATCTGTTCATGACGGATCCTTGTCAACTAAATCTGCCGTATACTGTCTGTCGAATAATTGCGGGGCACATGAGAGACGAAGATTTGTTGCGCTTGTGTGAGCGGACAAAAGAAAGTGATCTAGAACCTGCCAATGAAGTAAACGACTGTGTACCCCGACAGAAAAAAATTGTCCAAGAAAAAGAAAAAGAAGAAGTTAAAGTGAAGTTAAACTATCATGTTAAATTGTAAAATTGAATAAAACGTAAAAAAATGTAAAATTACTAACGATTTATTAATTTTCTGACATTTTGCTTAAGATAAGTATTTTTCATGATGTAAGTAGATGTAAGAAATTTTTAAATAAAAAGGAAAAAAAATTAAAATTTCAAAGTGTTATTATTTATAAACTCTCTCTTTAATTCTTATTGCTAAACTCATCAACGTCCAAAGTGATGAAATTTTTTACTGCCGATCAATGCGATTTTGTTTAAAATCCGAAGAAATTAAGATTTAATGCTTCATAAAAAATTCATGGTTAAAAAAAAAATGTGAAAAATTTGGGCGAAAAATCAACTTTAACAATTTTTTTCGAAATGTTGCGGTGAAGAACCTAAAATATAAATATGATCAAAGGTGATAATGGTGGGCGCAATGAAATGTAAAAAAATGTAAAATTGCTAAAGATTTCGAACATCCAATGCATTATAAAATGCACCATAAATAACGTTATTTTAGATTTTCTTACATATGCTATCTGCATATGATCGCATCGACCGCAGCAAGTAATTTTCGTGAAAAATTATCTTACAGAATTTTGTGTTTTTTTTTACACATTTTTACTTTTTCCTTTAATGAACTTGAATTCATAGTGGTTTTCATCTCTTTAAGGGTAGGCTCTCATGAGACTCGATCATAAAATCGATTTTTTTTTGCTTACTTAGTTAGCAAATGTCCCTTAGAATACACCCCCGAAACCCTTTTTACCAAAATCGATTTAGTTAAAAAGTTATAGACAAAATACCGAAGCTGTCTTTTTACGAGGGAACGATGTATGTATGTATGTACATTCACTTTCTAAAACTTTAAAAGCGTTTTTCTCGAAACTACGTTTTCTGAATCGGGTGGCAAGATATCTCGAAAAGTACTTACACTTAGAGATACGCTTTTTTTTACCTTAAAGCTAATTTAATTGTCTGGAGGTTGAACCTATAAAATTTAAAATTTTTTCATTATTATTAGTTTTTACAGCCCTTAAAAGAGCCAAAAAAAGGCAAAAAAAAGAAATTTTTTTTCCGAAGTCCGCCATTTCATCAATTTTTAATTTTTTTGCAATTATTTAGGTTCAACCTCCAGCAAATGTCATCTAGTTTAAGAGGAACTTCGCATTTTTAGTTTCGGGCAAAAACTGAAGGCGCTAGCTTGCCGCCCGTTGAGGTACCTTTTTTTAACACGACCTCCATCAAACGCTGCTAGGCGATAAATAATTCGATATTTTGGTCTGAAAAAATTTGTAAATATGGTTAAATACATACTTTATAAGTACCAAAAAAACTTGACTGCATTATTCACTTCCTTCTACGAAAAAAAAATCACGAAAAACACGTCATTTTTGAGGCGCTAGATGAGAGCTTCCCCTTAATGATCGGTAAACAAACGTAATAAACTGTAATAAAAATAAAACAAATGCAGAAAAACGTATCACATGTCCGAAAACGTTTGTTTTCTCATTGATTAATTGAAAACCAAAAGAATATATCAATAATTCAACAACAAAAGAAAAAATTTTTATATTCCGTCTGAAATATTCATTAGATATTTCAATTTTTTATAATTAAAAATGCGATAACTATTATAGCTTCAATAATAAGCTCGTGTGTGTATGTCTCGTATTGCAGGAAATGTCGGAGGGGAAGTATTCCACAGGCTTGGTACACGCCAGCATACTCACGATGACGATGTTACAAGTGTTGTACTACTGCTCATTCGCTGAAACTCTGCGCGAACAGGTGTCAAACACTTGCCCACATTACTATAGAAAATGAGCTAATTTTAAACGATCGCACGTGGAATAATCGCCAGGATTTCTTTTCTTTTTTTTCGATCTCGCATCCATAGGCAGAACTGCTCGCCGATTCGATTTACAGTTCGGCTTGGGTCGATCTTATTCTTGAATCAATCATCGACGAATCACTTCCGTATGATAAAGATAAACAAACCAAAATTCAATGACCCTCATAGCGTATGTTCTTGTATAGGATATAACGATCTCATTTTGCAGATTTTCGAAAAATCCTACACGTTCTACACATGGTACTGCAGACGAGCGAATGAAGGATTCCGGAGAAGAAGTAGGAGAAAAAAAGTATGTACCCACATTTTAGCACACACTCACACACATTCAAAGAACTTCCCAAACAGCGTGTATAAAAGATCTGCAGTCGGAGTCAAGAGAGATAAAGAGTTCGTGCACTTTCTTCGTTGTGTACACACAGACACATACACGTGCATTCGCCTTATGGACTTTTAAGGTCAAGAGAAAGTTTGTATCTACACACGCGCTCGTAAATGCCTATACGTCTCTACGGTTGTGTGTGTGGATATGACTTGTCTAGCAACTTTTATGTTTTTCTCGTATCATATCTCTCTCTTTCATTTCCATTATACTTTTCGCAATGTACGCATCGATAAATCTCATTTCCATGCGCGTATGTATAATACGCCTCGCATGGGTGTCATGACTCTTCTCAAATTTCTATCTCGTTGCGATTGGAAATTTTCAAATGATTCTGCGTTGTCGTCGCCTCGAGTTGACCCTCGGGCTTGATCTGCGCGCACCACTAAACTTGTCCTTGCCAGCGCGCAGGACATGCAACCTGCGCCTACATCGCGTTACGCGTTGTGTAATCGGTGAAAGTACGTATTGTAAAAATTTTCGGAAAAAAAACTTCACACCCCCCGTGTCAAATTTTTTTTTTCTGTTATTACATTATATGATACAGTATCGCATGAGAGAATTCAAAAAAGCTCATCGACCGCAGCTTGCGATCGCAAATACTTTTCTTACTCATTGATTTTATGCAAAAAAAAATGAGCGGAAGAAGATTTGCCGATGATGTCTCTCGTCTAAATTTCATCAATCTCCAACCGCAGCAGCAGCAGCATCATACATAATTGAGAAAGTCCACATCCTTTTTTAGCGCGACCGAGGAAGGTCAGCATCGAGCGAAAGAAAGCGAAATTCGAACGGCTTGTGTGTGTGTGTGTTTGGTGGGCCTCGCGCGCCCAAGCTTGATAAATAACATTACGTATACGCACGCACACACATATAATAAAATATTTGGCTTTCGTTTTCGCTCGATCCGTCGCGTGCGCACTGTATATATAAATACGTATACGCAAGAAAAGGAAAATTGGCTCGCGGTTGAATAATCGCTTAGAGAGTCTCGAATTGCGTAACGAGAACGGGATCGTCGTTGTTACGCGTGCATTATATTAAATACCCGCGTACCGATGCGTAAGGAGAAAAAAAATAAAGAATTAATTTTCATTTTGATGACTGTAATAAGGCGCAGCAAATAGGGCATTTCACTTACGCAGCTGCAACGAGTGAACTACGATAGAGAAAGACTAGGCTAGACCGAATTGCACAATTTTTATACGAACAATGAGACCCACATATGAACACGATCGCGAGGGAGGAAATTATGTATAACGCGTATGCGCGCGTAAAATTTTAATTAATCATCGATTATGTCGTACACACATTGTTGTAATAGCCACGCAGCGAAGGGAATGTATAATATAATTACATAAAAGGTCGTGTGCACGCGCGAAGATCGTACGTCGCAATTTTCCGAGTAATCATACGGGGATTAATTAATCCTCTGCAGCCGATACTTATGAAGATTTTTTTTTCTTTATCTCTCTCTGCAGTGTACTACTATCCGATCACGTGTGTGTGTGTGTGTGTGTGTGTGTGTAAATCAGGACAAGGGCGTAGCGGTGCAGCGAACTCTGGCTCGCGTTAATACACATCAGCGCGAATAATTGTCGCAATGATCTCTCTCAGCTGCTGCTGCTGCTCTTCCACGAGTCCGAGCGCATCGAAGCGATATAATACGTGTACACCTGGCAATCATACTTTCCATGCGTCTCTCCGTTTGTAATATCGTATGTATTATGATATTACGTATTTCAACTTTTTTTTTCAGATTTATCGAACAAAAAGATGTATAATAAAGTCATAACAACCAAAGTTACTCACGCATATCGCGCGCGAGCATGTATATTATATTATATATACACACTCCCTCCCCACCATCATTTCGTCGCTTTTACGCCTCGCGGATAGGATATAGCGTTTTAGGAGCTGAACGAGACGCACGAGCGCAGCCACTTTGCGGGACTTTGTGCTGTGCCTGTTTGTGTGTGAGTGTGTGTGTGTGTGTGCCGTTGAGGTTTTCTGCGCGCTGCTCGCCGCGGTCTCCGCCGTAGTCAGTCAGTCAGCATCCCGGCGTCGTAGCGTTTGAATCGCCGCTTCGGCTCATACCTCGGGGATAGTTCAAGTGAGTTCGGTGTCAGTACGATACACGTTAATTTCAATTATTTTCATTGTTGTGCGCTTTATTGCCCTCATCGTTAAAAACCTCGAATATACGATCACAGGTGCGTGTCTTTTTTTTTTATTGTACATAATTATCGATTGTGTTTCGTCTGTTTATCTTCCTTTTCAATAGACCCAAGGAAAAAAGTGTTGTATATCGGAGCGCGCGTTTAATCGAGTGAAAAGTGTGTTGTGTGCTCTTTCGTCAAAAAAATATACGGATTACGTTGGCAATTAAATTACGCGGAAAAACCAAAACTAACAGTCATTCATGGTGACAGCGAACGATGTATGATATACGATAAACAAAGAAAAAATCGGCTAAGCGCTAAAAATATCCATATATACGCGCGAAAGCTTCGGACGTCGTCGGCGCGCCGTGACTCTTGTGTCAATATTCGCGCGCATCCAAAGTATCCACTCCTTTTTTTTTTCACCAGAAGAAAAAGTGATTATTCGTGTGAGTTTACGAGTGCGCGAGTCATATAACGTCGCGCAGCAGTAACAAAAAAAAAAAAAAAGAAGAATAAACATCCGCTCGTGCAAACCTCGTTCTTTTTTTTCTTTTTGTTGTCTCTCGTCGAAGCCGCCGAAAAACCAGTTCTGCTCTTTAAAAGGCATATATAAACGACGATTACGACTCGCATAGACGAAAGAAAGTTTTCGATCTCGATCTCGCAATTCAGCTTCCGATCCGGAAAAATGTCCAAAAACGATCGTTACGGTGCTCGTATAGTAGTTCTGCTGGTATCTCCGTCTCGGCTCTGACGTAACACCCTCTCGATATACGTTAAAACGACGTACATATATGTGCGTGTGCGTGTGTGTGTAATATGCGTTCCTCCCCGCATCGAGAACGCGGAGAAGTGAAAGTTCGAGCGGTAGTAGTAAGCGGCGCAGCGGTAGCGATCGGTGTGCATGAGGCCGAGTTATGAAAAAAAAAAGTATTTAAGGTTTTTTCTATGCTCGTGTGTGTGTACATGTAATGCGAGGCGAGTTATCGACAGCGAGCGATGTAATTACTTCTTATTTTTTTTCGATAGATCGATACGACTGCGCCCACGAGAGAAAGAAAGATTAGCGTAGACGGGTATCTATTGTCCCGTAAGAAAAAAAATTGTGGATGATGATGATGATTTGTACGACGGGAGTCTAGAGAAAAAAAAATTCGCGCGACTCGCAGACAACATTTCTCTAGATACGCTATTACTACTTTCACCCGCGTGAGTGTTACATTACGCGCGTCTGGATCGAGCGTCTCTTTGTACACACATAGACGTTTCGCGCGATCAGCACATCGGATCATATTATACACAACTTATACATTACGATTCGCCGATCTCGATTTTTGCGCTCACTCACACACACATACACCTGCTCTTTTCTTTCTCTCTTTTCTTTCGTCGGAATAGAAAGCCTATAAAAGCATAATACGAAAAAAATTTTGCAATAATCATCGCGCGCGCGCGCGCCCAAAAAAAAGAAAAGAAAAGAAATACATATACGCAGCGGGCGATATTCGCGTAACGCAACAGCGCGCGCGATATGTTTTTCGATACTTTCCTTCGTTATAAGGCACGTACATATATCAATAATTTACATTCACGTAATATAACGTATTTATCGATATTCGCGCGCGCGCGCACGAGCGCGTGTCAAAAAATTATACTTCATTTTTTCGGATGATTAGCCGTGCGCGCGCGCGAAAGAGAGAAAGATCGTAAATATGAATTTCTCTCTATATCTCGCGCGTAACGAAAAAATCATGTTTTTATACATCATACCGTTGGTCAACTCGAGTGGTGCTTTTTTTTTTGACTTTTCGCAATATATCGCGAACCTTATAAACTTGTACGCAATTACGCATCATCTTCACTTGTCTCGAAGAGCTGCTGCTGTACACACACCGTGTAATATAGTTCGTTTACCTCGGGTACGCGTCTAGTCATCGGCGCGATCTTCGCGCAAGGTCAAGTGGCCTTTCTCGCGCAGCGCCTAACGCTTCTTTTTTTTATTTTTTCTCAATCTCTATCACCTGTGCGCGTATATGAGCGCGACACGATTTCCACACACGCGCGTCCGAGGATTACGTAAGCGCGAGAGTACACACGCGCGCGTAAATGCCATGTACAAATGAAAATAATGACGATGATAATAATGATAATAAAAAATCGATGCGTTTTATTTTATTTTATTTTAATTTTTATTTTCAATCGTAAAAAATAACAAAGACGAGTCACTGGCGCGACCTTTGAACGAACGAGTGAGAATACCAGTCCGCGTGCATCACGATGCATAATGCATTTCGATGATTTTGACTGATTATCTCGTCTCGGTCTCGCATGCGTAATCGTCGCTTTGTTATTCAAATACGTAATATATCTCGCGCGCGTAATCCTCTTTTGCAAAGCTCGTGTATATGCGTAAGCTATTTTAACGATCCGAATGACATTTCCACGTCCTTATTGCAGGATATATACGACAACTTGACAAAGACATCAAAGCATCATCATCGTCATCATGGGCGGTCAACAGCAGGAGAGCAGCGACAGTCGGCAGCAGCAGCTGCGAAGCAGCGAGGTCTACCAGTGCGGCCTGAGCTCGCAGGCCCAGGCGGTGGCCAAGCAGCAGCTGCGCGAGGACGAGGCGACCCGCAAGCACGCCCTCGAGCAGTTCCGCGAGTGGATACGCCAGCATCCGCGCATCAAGCGCTGCCGCACCGACGCCGTCTTCCTGCTGCGCTTTCTGCGCACCAAGAAGTTCAGCCTGCCCCAGGCCCAGGAGATGCTCGAGCGCTACCTCACCATCAGGCAGACGTATCCGGACTGGTTTCAGAATCTCGACATCGAGGACCCGGGCATCGAGGCGATCATCGACGCGGGCTACCTCGTGCCGCTGCTGCTGCGCGACGAGCAGGGCCGACGCGTCATACTCAGCCAGGCGGGCCGCTTCGACCCGTACAAATTCACCTCGGCCCAGATGGTCCGGGTGCACAGTCTCGTGGTGGAGGCACTGATGGACGACGAGGACAGTCAGGTGCACGGCTACACGTATCTGAACGACGAGTCGGGCCTCACGATGGGCCACCTGTCGGCCTGGTCGGTCAGCGACATACGCAACATGCTCACCTGCATACAGAACAGCACGCCGATGCGACACAAGGAGACCCACCTGCTCAACGTGCCCGGCTGCGCCAACAAGATCATCGAGTTCGCCCTGGGCATGCTGAGCGACAAGCTGAGGTCGCGGGTGCTGCTGCACAAGAACGTGAAGGAGCTGCAGAAGAGGATAGACCCGAAGATACTGCCCAAGGAGTACGGCGGCGAGGTGCCGTTGGCCGACATGATCGGTAAGCGTTTCAGTTTAGAATATTAATTAATGCGTCAGTACTGGGTTATTATTTATTTTTTATATAAAAATTGCATTAAAATACAATTACATCCATGATTTTTAATGCAAAGTAAAATTCAATCATCGTTAAAACCAGCATTGACCCTTAGATGGCGAGTACCTTTATATCCGTAAATCTGCAAATGGCAAAGGCAAACTAATTGTATAAGTCAACTACTAGATACTACTAATGTATGAGTAGATTTTGAATGTTGTACAATACGTAAAAGAACGTAACAGTTTACGTGATATGGATAAATTTGAACAAAACTTCCTTCGCTCTCGCATTAATTTCGTTAGTAATATTTTTAAAAATTATTCAGGATGAGACTAATTTTCTTCTCTCTTTTTTTTCTCGCGCGCAGCCGAATTCAAGAGGAGCTTGCGAGCCAAGAGGGACGAGATCAAAGCGCTGGACGACATGCGCATCGAGATTCTGCCCAAAGAGAAATGCCAGTCCGCGGCCACTAGTAGTCTCGGCGGTCTGTCCGGCTCGTTCCGCAAATTGGAGGTCGATTGAGCCATACGAATCGTACACACGCGATATATAAATATTTATACACGAAGAGATCATTTTTGTTAATAATTTTTAAGTATATTTTAATTTTAGTTGAAGTTATTGCGATCAGTCTGTGCGTGGAGGGGGACTTAATTTCATTATGTATTTCTATTCAAAGTTGCGACGAGATTGTATCGTTTTAATTGTAATGTTGATTATGAATATTTAATGTATAGATTAGTGAAGAAAACAACAATAGCAGCAGCAACAAACGCAAACACGTGTGTGTGTCTGTGTTAAACGGGTGGTTTACAGTTACCTCATGATAAACGAAAATACAACTGCAACATTTTTTTTATCCGATCGTAATTGTGATCTCACGACTACGAGTGTTCGCGTCTCGTCGGATACGAGCGATAATTCATGGCTGTATCATATTATTATTTATTATTATAATTAAAAGTAACACATAAGTATAATTCATGTAAAAAAATAGCAGCATATGAAAACATTCCACGAATTAAATATAGCATTTGAACCAGATGCTTGATCGGCTCTTGGAAGATATACGGTTGTCTTGGTTTTTATTACGCCTGTTTGTCAATTTACAAAAACTGAAATTTTGTCATCGATTTGTAATGTGATTTTCAGCAAAGATAAAGGTGTTTAATTTACGCACTAATTTTTCATTATATTAGCAATCGTAATCAAGGTAGACTTTAATTTCTTTCAAAAAAAAAGAAAAAAATCTTACTGAGGCATGTGCCAGTCGAGTAACATAAGTAAATTTTTCAGAAAAGAGTACAAATGATTGAATTTATTACCAAGTTTAATCGATCTACCAATTATTACTTACTATTTTCCTGTTTTCTTGTTTGAAATTGATCCAATATTGTATTATAAAATTCACTGCAAAATTAAATCTTACTCAGAAATCAAAATGAAATTTTAAAAATTCGAATACAATAAATTTCATCTTGAAATAATATCTGCAGTCAATATCTTTAGATTAATAATTATACGATGTTTTTCGCATCCAGGAGGCTCGTAGATACTCCTTTCAGAGCTTTTATATCGACCATTGATGCTATTAAATCATAGCGTGCGCGAAAATCAGTTGCGGGGTCGGCATTCGAAGGTCAAGAATAATTCTAGTTTCGAGGCGAGAATGTTTTACCGACATATTTATTGAGAGAACGGCTTGAAAAAAGCTTTAATTAATAAATGGGATATTAAGATCGATTCACTATCGACAATTAGAAAAGCAAGTTGAGGACGATGTAATCGATGGGTCTGCATCAGAACGCATAAAAGATGAGAAAAAGGGTTTGTTTAGTAATAACGAATTATATTACAGTTTGATATACTTTATTGTTTGTTTACAAAAACGAAGGATGTTCAAGTGAAAAATGTAATTAATTTCGTAGAGTGAATGTGAAATTCTTCATGCATTCCTCATGCATTCTTCAGGACGAGTTTCATACGTCAAAGGTTTCCTACTTTCATGCACTGCATTTACGTGAGATTTGAGATTTCCCAGTTGTACAAATGATTTGTGACAAATCTCACAATCAAAAGGTTTGCTACGATCATGTACTGTATATTTATGTGATATTTGAGGTAGTCCTTGCGGCCATATGATTTGTGACAAATATCACATCCAAAAGGTTTGCTATGATCATGTAATGCATTTACGTGACTTTTCAGTACACTATGCTTACATAGTTTCAATCTCAAATTTATCATTAGAATTTAAAATTTGAAATTTGAAATTAAAATCAACTTTAATTTTATAACATGACCCGGCGCTCATTGAGCAGCACTGCGCGCCTGGAAGAGGGGGCCGAGAGCGCCTCCTTTTCTTTCAGTGTATGCAACTATAAGGTAGTGATAAAATAAAATATTGTCATGATGCTCATTGATATTTCGACTTTAATAATTGTGCTTGGGTATTAAAACAGAACATTTACATGATAATGATATGATTCCAATTTAAATATTTACTGTTTTAAAAAATAACAATTATTTTGACAAAGAAAATGATTAGAATGTTTTTTAATTGAAAAAATGAGGTTACAAGTTAAAACTAATATTGAGCTAAACGATGAAGATTACGATCATTTGAATTTTTTGTGAAATATCCGATTAATTTCTTATACAAGTAAAGTGCTAAGTAAGTAACCCACAGATATAACTTATTGAAGTTATTCTTAATTGATTGCCAAAGAGTATAATATTGAAGTTCATAAATTACAATGTATTCTTGAAATTCTTTTTGAAGTTTCTGGAAAATTATTAAAAAAAGAATCATTGTCTAACATAATAATTATAAACTAAAAATGAAAAATGATTTTTATCAATAGATATCTGTACCTGTTCTAGATGTTCTCTGTATCTATCACCATATGTATTACCGCCCATTCTTTTTGTACTAATAAAGTACTGTAATGTTGAACGGAAACAGTCCTCGTGTCCCTTTTTCAACTCATCTCTCCCAGCATAAGACTGGCCATTTTCAAAGCGCCCTCTCATGAGAGTCTTATATAGTTTCAATGATCTTTCTATTTCAATCAAGTTATTAGCTTGTACAGTAGCCTATAAATAATTGAAGTTTCTTATGTTGTTTCTTTTTTTGAATAATGTTTAATCTTACCTCAAACAGATTCTGTACAGAAGGAGAAGTTTGAAAATTGCTTGTGTAAGTTCTAAAACACTGAAGTAGCTCCCCAGCTGTAATCGCTGCCCCATTATATTCTTTAATAACAAGCTTGTCCTGCGCAAACAACATGCTAAAAAGTTGATTGAGATGCTTTTTGTAGACATCACGTAATGATCCAGTCTGACCATCAGATTCAATGATTTCTAAACCAGGATGTGGCATCAGATAACATGAAACATCCAAGATTTTCCTCATGTATTCTTTCAAACTTGGAATTGCATCTTCAAGTTGAGATTTTAAAAAATTATTTCCTCCAATTATACCAAAGTCAAACTCTTGCGAATCTTGCCAGTCACGTACATAAAAAAGCAACCTGATTCACCAAAAATTATATTATCCCTGATTATAACGCAAAATAATAAATACAGAATATTGAGATACAATCAAACAAATGCGGAAACATACTTTTGGAATACATTTTCATCACTTCCATTGAGCTTGGCAAACTCCGAGTAGAATTGTAAGTTCTGCAGGGTCCTTTTATCAATTTTCTGAGGCGTTAAGAAAATTTGCACCGAAGATAACAGCGAACTGAGTGAGAATATAGTTGTACATTTGGTATCCGAAGCATTCAAGGCGTCAATTCCCTCCGTGTCCATGAGTAAAATAGCGAGTTTGTCTCCAGTGTCCAGATCAAGTTTGAATACTTCCGACCATACAAGAATACCATTTGTGTCGGGTTTTGAACCATGCCTCCAAGAAAAACCTCGGAGAGATTCCGATTCGTTGTTTAGCCAATTTTCTTTCTCCTGCAGGCAGAGCAAACAAATCGAAGGAATTTCAGACTCACATTCATCGAGTTTTTATTATGAATATTTCAATACTAGCGACCCCGTCGTGGCTTCGCCCACGTTCAATTTTTTCAACAAATTCGACTGCTTAAAAGATCTTAAACAGGCCACGTCAAGTGCGTAGTAGGAAATGTATAAGTTGAGTCCACACACTTGTAAAACTCGAATAGCGATAATAACACATGTACACATCAAATACAATGTATTCCGATTCACCGCGTGTAAAAAAAACAACTGCTTTCGGTCTTTTTTATAACCATTAACCGGGCAAGGGGCGAGCGAGCGCGCAAAGTGGTAAAATACGAAAAAAATTCTGAACTCAAAAATAAATAAGCAAATAATGGTTTTAAAATGATAGAAACCTGCGCAGTGGTACAATGAATACGTGGTAAAAATTTCAAGCCGATTGGACAAATAGTTTTTGAGATCATAAAGGACAAACAGACACCAACTTCGCTTTATATATATAGATAACCGGGCAAGGGGCGAGCGAGCGCGCAAAGTGGTAAAATACGAAAAAAATTCTGAACTCAAAAATAAATAAGCAAATAATGGTTTTAAAATGATAGAAACCTGCGCAGTGGTACAATGAATACGTGGTAAAAATTTCAAGCCGATTGGACAAATAGTTTTTGAGATCATAAAGGACAAACAGACACCAACTTCGCTTTATATATATAGATAACCGGGCAAGGGGCGAGCGAGCGCGCAAAGTGGTAAAATACGAAAAAAATTCTGAACTCAAAAATAAATAAGCAAATAATGGTTTTAAAATGATAGAAACCTGCGCAGTGGTACAATGAATACGTGGTAAAAATTTCAAGCCGATTGGACAAATAGTTTTTGAGATCATAAAGGACAAACAGACACCAACTTCGCTTTATATATATAGATAACCGGGCAAGGGGCGAGCGAGCGCGCAAAGTGGTAAAATACGAAAAAAATTCTGAACTCAAAAATAAATAAGCAAATAATGGTTTTAAAATGATAGAAACCTGCGCAGTGGTACAATGAATACGTGGTAAAAATTTCAAGCCGATTGGACAAATAGTTTTTGAGATCATAAAGGACAAACAGACACCAACTTCGCTTTATATATATAGATAACCGGGCAAGGGGCGAGCGAGCGCGCAAAGTGGTAAAATACGAAAAAAATTCTGAACTCAAAAATAAATAAGCAAATAATGGTTTTAAAATGATAGAAACCTGCGCAGTGGTACAATGAATACGTGGTAAAAATTTCAAGCCGATTGGACAAATAGTTTTTGAGATCATAAAGGACAAACAGACACCAACTTCGCTTTATATATATAGATAACCGGGCAAGGGGCGAGCGAGCGCGCAAAGTGGTAAAATACGAAAAAAATTCTGAACTCAAAAATAAATAAGCAAATAATGGTTTTAAAATGATAGAAACCTGCGCAGTGGTACAATGAATACGTGGTAAAAATTTCAAGCCGATTGGACAAATAGTTTTTGAGATCATAAAGGACAAACAGACACCAACTTCGCTTTATATATATAGATATCAATTTGGTTTACCTCAGAATGCAAATAACGCAACATGTAGTTGAGAAGTGTGCTTTTGCCCAAACGGGTCTTCCCAGCGACAGATATAACGACGATTTTGCGATCACGTACATCTTCTTGGTTGAGGATTTTTTCAAGGGCTTTTTCGTTCAACTGGATTTTATCCTCTGACGAAAATTGAATTATTTCGATCGGCTTACCTTTGCTGCTTTTTTGCATGTTGTACAAAACTGATATCCAATACCTAGACGAGTTTATAACGAATTTATTAATTTCCTTGTTATGCTGTGGCATTTACAAATCGCAAAAAACTATTATTTATCTCAATAAATTAATAATAAATTTGCCATTGACTCGACTCGATCTTTATTGGAACAAATGACCAACACGCAAAAGTAAACACGCGTAATCGAGGTAAAATTAAAGACAATTTTAATCTAGTGTTTGGCAATGTTTGGAAGGTGACTCGAACATCGAAGAGTAACGATTCTTTGTTTTAACTCAAGTAGAACAATGGTATTGATAACTTTGAAAAACTGAGAATCTACATAACGTTTTAACGAACAGTGCTGAGATGCACTTCTCGAAACTATAGTATTTTTTGCGGATTTTGAACAGGATGTAAGAACACTTCATCGCAGTTTCAATTAACTTGAAATTTCTCACCATTCTTTGTAAGATTCAAGTCAGCTTCCTCAAGAAAAGGTAAACAGTTGTTTAAAATTTGAGAAGCTCATAACTTACGAGAGCCGAGCAAGTCTTTGAAATTAAATAAGTATATTCACTATACTTACGTGAATATAATATCAATATGGGCTGAAAAAGGTTCAACACCTATCAGGAGTTCGAATGAATATGACGAGCAAGTAGCTGTGAACTGTGGAGTGTGGACTGGGCGACATTTACAAATTTGGGACTCCCTGTGGTTAACGGCGCACCCGTCGTGAGAGGAAGTGGGAGAATAAGTAGCGTACATGAGTAATAAGATTGTAGTTCCCACTGGCAAGTGGCAACCCTCCCCCACTTTTTCAGTGGATTCTAGTGCTCTGGGAATCACGCACCCAATGAAGTTTCAACGTTCATGCTCGAACGTTACTCTTGCGTATTTACATTGACCTAATCGACGGCCGCGACGCATTTAGATTTTAGGCAATTCAAAAGTAACAAACTTGTGAGCAGGGACACGATTTAGGTACAGTCTCAAGTGTGTTTTTGAATATTCTAACTCTATCACACATTTTCGTGACACAAGTTTCTTCGACATGTACTTTTTTATACTTTAGGCACTTACTAGTTTTCTTGATAATTATCATACATTTCTAGATGTATTGAAGCTAGACTATGCTAGTGATTCAAAATGACCAATCTTTCTGTATATCTGTAATTTATTATTTACAAATTCAAGACGTTAAACCCTCGCAACGCTACTATGTGCATCTGAGCGATTAATATTACTATATTGAGTATGAGTAGAGTACAAATTAATAATTAATTCCTACTGATATTAATTCCTACTGATATTTACTATATCAAGATATTTATTATGATTCTGTAATCAAAAAATCATCCTTCATTGGCAGATGAATGGATACTTTGGAAAAGTAAAAGTTAAAGAGTCTCAAGGCGAAAACGAAGACGAATGAGCATTGTAAAAAGTTACGTTACTGATGTTGTATTGCAGATGTAGTAATGAGAATTTTTACATTGTTAATATAACTGTAGCATGGACGACTATAGTAGTGGCTCAAAACAGTTCATTCAGAAACTAAAAGTGCTAAGAAGGTATGTTGAATTTTTCTCGTGAAACTACTAATTAAGCACTGACCTCACAGCAAAATGAGTTTAATTACTTGTTTAAAAGTCAATTTCTGCTTAGGCTCGTATCTTCAAATATTAGATGACAAATCTTAATGGAAATTCAGTGAGAAACGTAAAAATATAAAAAATGACGATCCGAGTGGCTCACGCTAATGCTTCTCTGCAGCAGTATTTTTATAATAACTGTTGCGTAAAATTGCTTATTCTACTGACTGTTTGGACAAGGATGTAGTAAAATATTGTCAGGGTATTTATTAGTATTTCATTTCCAATTGTACTCAATTTATGTAATCGAACTTATTGTTGACAATTTTGCGTGTTTTAGATATTCAATATTTTATAAAAATCACAAAAAAAACGCCATCTTTTAAAATGTTAAAATAGTGATAAGAAACACAAGCTATGCAGCTTGTAGATAATTCACACAATATTGGAGTTTATATTTCAACAAAGTTCATTAAAATAAAATTTCAGCTAGCCATCATAAAAATATTCTCCTTCTTCTCCTCAAGTAGTTCTGAGCAAAATTTTTTATAATATGTTTTTTCCTAAAAATTCAGTGTAGTATAGAAGAAATTTCCCTCAAGGAAGAGTTGGATCATTTTCATTACATGTATTAATAACACGGTGAAAAATATCAACTTGGACTGGTGTCTGGAGCAAAGTTTCTCAATAAAATTAAAAATATATATTTTATTAAATCTGCGCACGGCATTTGAAAGGTAATGAAAATACCTTTAAAACGAGACCTTGCAAAAGTCAATACGTCAATCTAGTAGCTTTCTACATTAATTCAAAAAAATCTAAAAAACAACTTTTTTGCGATTTTTCATCCTCCTTCATTGCTCTTCCATAACCGGGGATGGGGTTATCGAGCTCTACATAATTTTTTATGAAAAGTGCATACCTCGACCTAAAAAAGGCGACCCAAAATAGGTAAAAACGGCTATTTTTGGACCTTCAAGGGGGCCGAAATTGGGGGCCTAAGGCCCCTAAAAGGCTAAAAATTTACCTGAAGCCTATTTTACGTACCCAAATAATATATTCAATTTTGGGGCAGATCCGAGAACCCCCCGCACAAAAGTTGTACATATATGAAAAAACTGCTCATATATGGTCAAATCTCAAAATAAAATATCGTTTCGTTAACAAAAAAAGGTGAAATTTTTTTTTGCGTGCCCAGCGGCCCGGACCCCTGCAAATTGTTCATAGGAACCCCAGGAGTAAAAAAAAAACGCGTGAACATGAAATTTGAAAATATTTAATTTTTTTGGGGCACTTTTGTGTTTTAGACGCCGAAAAGTCATCTTTTCACGCAAATACGACTTATTACTCGATTTCCAAGTCGTTGAAAAAGTATCCAAACTCATCTGAAAAATTTAACTGACTACTGTATTCGATAGGAAATTTCCTCAGCTTTCTGATGGTACTATTTGATTTTCCGAAGTATCCAATTTTCACCGCGAAAATCGCCATCAAACATTGAGGGCCAAATATCTCGAAAAACTCGGTACGGAAAAAGTGAAATTTTTGGATAATTGTTGATTTTTCCTTGTGAAAGTGAAATTTTTCGGAAAATCTTACTGCACCATGTGAAAGCTGAGAAAATATTATTAAAAAAGGATTTTACTGAGAGTACATTGCATTCTGATTCTGAAAAAAATAAAGCTCCAAGCCTCTTATTAACTTTGGATCGTAGTCGCCAAGCAAATATGATAAAAATCCTCGTTCGTGAATGATTCATCGATGATCATTATACCACAGCGCTCGAGCGTCAGCCGAGAGTGCGTCAGCTCCATGAAGCACTCGATCGCTCGGGCCCGGAAAAATCCTCTCGATAGCTTCACGCACAGATGCAAAAAGCAACGAATTTTAAGCCCGTGGTCCAAGTGCCACAAGTCGTTTCCGCGCGCGAACTCGAAGCAGTCCTTGGCCCGGACTCGTTTCGTCGCCTCTTCGGGTCGCAACCGAATCCAGTCGTAGAGCGACAGGCTCGAATTCATCATCGTCCTCTTGGCTTCGTTCGCGAACATCGCGTCGTCGTCGTACCAATTTTCTTTGACGTCCACGTTGAACGGTCTGCATCCGGCGATGAATTTCATTCTCGTCAGGGCATCGCTTCGCTGCGCGTCGTATCCTTTTGCCTCGAGACTCTCGACAGCTCCATTTTCAAACGACTCCTGTAACGACAGCTCATAATACCCTTCGAGTCGAAAAATTTGCCGAAGCAATTCTCGTGGAGGAAAACGAAGCTGGCGAGATCGGCCCTGTCTCGGAAAATATCTCGAAAATCGGGAAATTGTCTCTCCCAACTTCTGATCAAGTGGTAAAATCGACGTAGACATTCACGTTGCTCCTCTTCGATCGCCCAGTCGACGTTTTTGCGAAAAATCTTCAAAAGCTCGATTCTTTGTCAGTCGACTCGTCGTTTATTCGAATTTTAATTCTGCATACATTAATATATTTATTTAAAATATAGTCATAATTTAATTATTAAAGTGAACAAAAAACTCATTTCGAGACATTTGAAGGATATTTTGGGTGCAAAACTTACAACTTAACTATAGGTGCTAAACTTAACAAAACTCAATTGAATTTAATCCCGAAAAAGCTGAAAATCGAATGAAGAAGTCCACTATTCGGAATCCACAAACATTGTGTTTACAAATATGAAGATCGACACTATATAATTCAGGATGACGGAAAACATCTCCATGTTGACTATTATATTTGGCGTGAACTTTACTTTAAAACTAAGTTCGCATCGTGCTTTCATAATTTGAAGATCTTTCAAATACTTTCGATTTGACCTAAACTCGATGTAATTATCCAAAACGAGTCCATTGCCGATTTGAGATGACAAGTCTTGTAATAAATCACCGATGAAACACACCAAAAAAAGGGTAGTCGAACATACGACGAGCGTTAATATATTTTTTATAGCCAGAACTCCTTGAGTCTCCCAACTGATCTGAAAATATTTATTTCTGGTTAAAAAAGCGTATTAAAAAAAAAGTTATGAAATTATTAATTCATAATTTTGCTCATTCTGATTAAAATCGTTACCTCTTTTATAGAAATCGTTCCAAAGATCAAAAATGCGCCGTAAGAACAATTAATTACCAAAAAAGTAAAGCGCACGACCTTGCACGCCTCTTTGCCATATGTCAAAGCTCTATTGTGCCGCCAAATGATGGCATGTAAGGCAGCTCGATTCTTGCCCTGCAGATCTTGGGCTGCAGCGTGAACCAATTCGAACTCCTTACAGATTTGGCACAAAAAGGTGCACAAATAACAATCAAAAGAAAGCCAAGCCGGTAAGGCAAAAACGCTTGCTATGAACTGCAAGATGAACATTGCTACATACCTATGACAGAAAGTTCATCAAATTTACAAAAGGTATCAATCGATAGATTTTTATTTAGAATTTTTTTCGAAAAAGATTTTTTTTTTGAGAAATTTTTAGCTGATTTCATAAAAGATATTATTGCCTGCAAGAGTTTGCTTACACGCAAGCAAAGACTATTCTTATTACAATGATATTCAGACAAAAAAGCGTTCGAAAATCAATTCTAACGCCCTATTTTTGGTAGAAAAGTTCAAAATTGTACGCCTAGCTTTTATTCATCAAAAGTGTTACTTTTTTTTTAAATTGTATCGCGATAATACTATCGCCATAATACTCCACGTTTATTTTACTAATTATTGACCATTTTTTGACAGTATAATATTCTTGCAAAGAACCAATTCACATACTTCCAATAATTATTCTAAATTTTCTTCATTCGACTTACATATTGAGAGACATGAGACACTATTTTCGCTCTTTTGACTGATACAATTATTTTGGTTTTTTCACTTGCAGATTTATAGATAATGGTACTCGCCATCTAGTGGTGAATACTTAAAACGGTTTTATGGTATTTGAAACGCTTGAGAACTGGTCTGCATTTTTCGAAACAATAAAATTATCGTTTTCAGGTAATTTAAATTACACGTAATTTTTGTCTTACTATTCAATTAAAAAATTGAATAAAGGCAAGCCGATTAGAAAAAATGTACTTTAAAACATTTCAAATGGTAATTATTAGTCTTTAGGCTATCTTTTGATACATCGAATTTGATAATAATTAGCAAAAATAATCTTGTTCCTAAAAAAAGCAATTTTTTAAAGTTTTTTTCTATCCAAAGCAATGTTACCATCTGAAAAAAATGTAAAATAATTAATATTTCAATCAAAATAAATTTGTTTACTTTATAAGTGATTATTGAATCATTAGGTGGAAATCTCACTTTGTGTCAAGATGTTCTGTTTTATAACCAGGAATGGGTAGCTTCTTGAAAAAGATGGGAGGAATTAAGTAAAGCACCGCCCCCATTCCATAGCCAATAAGCAAAAGTTTCATCAGTAAATCACGAATGAATCGCCACTTTTTGATTATTGTGCATTCCTCCATGCTCAGTGATTGCATTGGAACTGTTTTTTCCAATGCGATTGTCTGATTTATCAAAGCGTAGATTTGTGGCCTTCAAATAATATTTTTAACACTGCGTGCGCGAAACACGGGTTTTCTAACCTTAAAGCGTCAGAAAACCCTAGTTTCTCGCAAGCAGAGTTAAAAAATATCGTTTGCAACTAGTCCGCGAGGAAGTTGACTCATCCAGGAGTCTTTGCACCCTCGCTACGCTCGGGTGAAAACAACTCCTGGATGAGTCAACTGCTTCGCGCACTTGTTACAAAATATACTATTTTTGGATTGACTTTCATTAGCTAAAGAATAAACGTTCAAAGTAATAGTTTCTGTAACATTCACCTACTTTCGAAATAATACATAATAAATTCTTGCCAATGCTGTTGATATGGCGGTGAGAAGACTGATGATTCTTTGAACATAATTTGCATGACTTCATTTTATCGAACTAATTTTCGATAAAAGTACCTCCTTAACAATGAAATATTAATAAATGTATATACTCTATTAAGTCCTCCGTAGATTTCGCCGATAAAAGTCCGCTAATTAAACAAAGAAAGTGGCCCGTTACACAAATGCTTGGCAGAAGGTGATGGATTTTTCTCGTCACATAATTCAAATAGTCTGATTTGTTGAAAGGCCAAGTTCCACCAAATATATGTACGAATTTGTACAAATGGAAAATATCATAATTTTCAAAATTATCGTAATCTTTTTCTGTAAACTTTTCAAGTAATCTTTCGATCATTATGACACCCTCAAGTGGAGACCGAAGTACAAACTGAATAATATTATATACGTTTTTATCGTTTACGTATATCCATGGTGATATGCTGTACAAAATAAATAATTAAAAATATAGCCGCGTGTAATACAATAGTTTAGTGAATCGAAATAAGAAACTAAGTTTCTTGATTCTAAAGCAATTTAATAACAAAAAAAGAAAATTAATTACTTTCATATTAATTACGTTCAACGTGTTATGGAAAATTTAGATATTTTTGTGTTCAACGATGGTTGAATATAATCTTTTACTTTATCAAGTATAAGATTAAGTACAAACTCCGAAGCTGGACAAAAAATGGCTCCCAAATATTATTTGTACCGAATTTGTGGAAAAATTTGCTCCTAAATATTACTTGCATCGAATTTGTGCAAAAAAAATTTTTTCGTAAATTTCTTCTACGGTCTCTTAAAAATTATGTCTACGTCCATATCACTTTGAAAACTATGGGAACCCCGCGTGACGTAGATACTCCTTTTGACTTTTTTTTTAATTATTTTTTTATTTTTGTTAATATTTGAAGCATTTTCGTCCCATTTCCTTATTTTTTTGCTTAAAATTGAGTCATGACATGAATAAAATGGTCATTCACTGCTTCAAAATCGCTCTACAAATTTCGCTCTTAAATATCACTTGTTCCTTATAAACACAAAGTGCTTTCAAATTCTATGATACAATTATTTAACGTTTCCGCTTATTATTCATTAATTTGTTGAGAGTTTTTTGGTAATAGATATTTATCATACATATGATACAGATAATATTATATTAAAACATAAGTAATTTACACTTCAGACTTGAAATTCTTATCTGCCGACGTCGTGTGAAGTTGCACGCGCGCGCGTGACCTAGTTTGACCAGTTTTTGATCAGTTATTCGACTTATGAATAGCGACAGATTTTTAACAATCTCATAATTTAATATTATGCCATTAATTCACAAATTTTATTGATAATTTGAGTAATAAAATGAATAAAAAACTAACGAACTGGACATATAGCCAAAAGAACTATTAAGCATGTAAACTTTTCTATAAGAGAAAGAAAAATATTCAACAATACTGCTTCATTAATTAAGCTGTCAGGGTCAAAAAAGTACAATACCGGTGGTATCGTATCGTTGATTCTTGTACGCTACAAAATTTGTTGCAATCGATCTTCAAGTTAGTTATGTATCGAATCAAAGTATACGGGCAAAGTTCAAACACTCGCCAGACTTATCGCCGAAGAAATCATTTATGTAGTATAAAAGTCCTACATAAGGCCCTAGACAAACATTCACGTACAATACAATTGCAAAAAAAAACTTACGACAGAAATCGTAAGGCTGTGACGTCACTAGCCTACTTTACGCTCCCTCGTACGCATAGATGCCTGTTAAGTGGGATGCGAATACGATTTCGTACCCACGTGTTTCGTATTACGCACCGATTCGAAACTTACGGGATGTGTCAACACGGAGAGCTGTCAAAAGTAAAAACGAATAGCTCCTCGTTAGTCGTGCGCTCCCGATGGGCTAGGGGTCATCTTTGTGACCGAGAAATAGGTCGAGGCTCAACGAACTCGTGTATCCCCCTCTTGTATTACCGGAGCGACTAATCGGAGCAGATGTTCAAAATAATAAACGACGATATTCGACGCGATCGAAATTTCGTGAACCTACTCGTTGATCATGCTTGCCTATTTAAAAGGGGCGCCGGACGGGGAATATGCTACTCGACTCGATGAATCGAGATAATAAGTAAAGTTTGACGATAGGTGCCGCCGTATGGACGAGGCTTCGCGCTTCGAATACAGTTGGAGATACGAAAATTTATCGGTTAGATTTCATTACTGCTGTAATAAAATCGTGTTTACGAGTAGCAGGAGGCTGTCGTAAAATACATTATGATGAACAGAATGTAAATTTTTCTGGTTCTTATTCATAAATAAAAGTAAAATTAATTATTTTTACAATTTTTAAATTTAATTTTTTTTAAAACATGTTGCAAATCCCCACGCTACTAACCGAGAAAAAAACCAATCTACTGATTGAACCGAATACACGCATGCATAAGCATTCAGATATTTGTCGATAAAATATTCTATTAATAAAAAAATGAAGAAACATTTTCAAAAGGTGTGACAAGTCGACCGATTTTCGACTCGACTTCAAGCGCGACGAACTACCATAGGAGAGTCTATATTAACTCAAGAATATAAATCAATAGTTCTTTATCGAAAAAAAATTGATTTGCTTTTATTTTTTGTTTAATTTGTGGACATTGTTTTTATCTTTCAGTACAGCTTTAGCGAAATAACACATAATATAGGAAGAACTTAAGATACATAATACATGAAGATTTTTTCAGCAGTCTTTTACAAAACACACTACGTCATAGATCAGAGTTTATGACACAAATCAACAGAAATTTTTTGCATTAATTTGATAATAATGCGTTAACGATGCGCTACATCGATGTGAGCTTTGAGACTTCTTTTTTGTCCAAATACTTTTCCGCAAGTCTCGCACGAAAGGATGTTAATATTATGCGACTTCTTGACATGTGCCTTGAGATCATGTGGAGATATATACTTCTTTTTGCATTTATCGCATGTATATGTGATACCATTATGCACTGCATCGATGTGAAATTTGAGATATGCCTTTTGAGTAAATGACTTATCACATTTATTACATGCGTGTTTAACACCAATATGCGACGATTGGATATGCCTTTTGAGATTCGTCTTGTGAACAAATGACTTGCCACATTCATCACATGTATGAGTGACACCAGTATGCACTGCACCGATGTGAATTTTGAGATATGACTTTGAAGTAAATGACTTATCACATTTATTACATGCATGTGTGACACCAATATGCGACGATTCGATATGCTTTTTGAGATTCAGCTTATTAACAAATGACTTGCCACATTCATCACATGTATGAGTAACACCATTATGCACTGCATCGATGTGAAATTTGAGATATGCCTTTTGAGTAAATGACTTATCACATTTATTACATGCATGTGTGACACCAATATGCGACGATTTGATATGCCTTTTGAGATGCCCCTTATGAGCAAATGACTTATCACATTGATCACATGCATGAGTAATTTTATTGTGCACTGAATTAACGTGATTTTTTAGAGAACTTTTTTGTTTATATATTTTTCCACACGTATCACATTTATAGTCTAACTTTTTCGTGACTCTTTTCTTGTTTTTCTCGCTCAATTCACGGTCTAAATTCAATTGTGCTACTTCATCGTTATAAATTTCTTCCTTTATCGTCTCTACAGGTTCTAACTTTATTTTGCTCTGAGTTTGATAATCATCGCTATATGTCACATTCTGCAAATAATTCTGAGGATAATCTTCTATTTTCTTCACTACTACTAATAAATCCTTGCTCTGCTTCATGTCTGAGCATTCGAACTCGATTTGCATGTCGTCACCTCCATAATCATGATTCTCATCGAATTTTTGAAGCACTCGAGCCTGTAATAAATATGGATTAACGTAAAATTTTTACGAAAAGCATCTTAAGTGTCAGTCTCTTATAATGATTGACGCTTACCTGATTTTCAGTATGAAGTGTCTCGTCAAAAATTTTTCGTCCATCTTCCTCAGTAAATGACACATCAGAAGGTTCGCTTTTAATTCTGCAACAATGCAACAAGATTTAGTTTTATGTTACAGAATTTTTTCTTACCAAGTAAAATTTACCTGACAGCACAGTTGAATTTATCACCCGATTCCATCTTTCTCATATCCGAGGTAATGGTACACATCGAACTAACTGACGTAATTGGAATAATATTTACCAATCACGGTACGAAAGTTCGAGTACTTGTAAACATCATATTTAATCGATCTACCTCGTGTCTAAACACAGATTGACAGATGAGAAACAACAATTACTTGAAAATCGAAATAAAAAATTATAGCTCCAACTAGCTAGCAACTCAAACAGCTTTCCCCAATAAAATCGAATCCTCATTACAAAGGGATGAATAAAAAAATTTGCTAGACCTTTGTTCAATAATAAACTTCAAATAACGGTGGTTGCTGAGAAAAAATTCAAATGTTTTTATTTTTGGGAAAAATTATTACACAGACTTAAATTTAATTGCAATCTAATCCTTATAAATTGTAAGTATAGAAAAATCCCGCTAAATTGTTTTATAAATAAAATTTTACGTATGTCAGGCACAGGCTACAAATATTCCAGACTCGGCGTCGATAAGGAAGAAATCTTCCCTACCGCCTACTAGAGTCGTTATCAGACACATTTATTAACGTCGGTCGTCGGCTTACCAACCGCCACCTGCACAACCCGCGCTCGATTCTATGAACATGGAAAATCACAGCACTCGAGCTGCAAGATATAATTCCCCTATATAATAACGCAGTGCCAAAGAGCTGCTGAAGAGTTCCATCGAACTGCGGTGGTGGTGGTGGTGGTGGTGGTGGCAGCGGCGGCGGGCGCCCCTTCTCCGTACTACTACAACTACTACCATAATACAACGTTTTCTGCAAAACGCGTCTTCGCGCACGACGCGCAATCGACGATCAGTCGAGTGTTTGGCTCGTCCCCCGTCGCTTCGCGCATCTATACACGAGTGTGCCACGGTGCATCTAGATAAATACAAAAATAATAATAATAAAACAACGGAGCCGTCGACGACGACGACGATTTTGCTGCCCTCGACGTGTTGCGAACTACGCTGTGCCGTTGCTGCGTTGTGTCGTATTATCGTCGTTGCTGTAGTTTCCCTCATTTTTAATAGAAAGAGAGAGAGAAGAGAGAAATAAGAGCGTCAACCCCGAGTCGTGCGTGTGCATCGGGTGACTCATTCTCTCGTATTATATATTCGCAAACCGTCGTGTACGTGTATAGATAAGTGCGTTTAATGTACATGCGCTGCTGCCCCGCGCGTAGTGCAATGTATTTTTCGGGGGGTAAGCAGAAATTTAATAAAAGACATGTTTCGAAGGCTGCACTGCCTGACATAATGTGAAACGAGAGGGAGAGAAGGAGAGAGTAGGAGAGAGCCAAGTCGCCAAGTGCCAAGTGTCAAGAATATATAATACACATATATAATATTATTATGCAGTGTATGGTGCGTTAGAACAAGTGTGTGTGTATCGTTCGATTTTCCCTGCCCGTCTGTGTTCTTATTTTTTACTTACACGGTAAAGGACACGACATAACCTACAATTGTGTGTGTGCATTTGTGTCGATTGTGCGTGTGCGTAAAGTGCAGAATTATCAATCGTGCGTGTTTCGAAATTCGAAAAAAAAAAAATTGAATATAAAAAAGTGCTGATTCGTCTGTGTGTGTCGACGAGTGTGTGTATAAAGGTGTGCGTCCGTGCGTGCGCGCTCAAACGCTCGCGTTGGCAGAGTTTCGTGACGAAACAACGACAACAACAACAACAACAAAACGAAAAGAGTCAGCCAGCCACCGGCTCCGTTTTTTTCTGTAGAAACATCAACGCAGTGGAGCTCTTCGTATTCTCGAGAAATATATAATGTAAGTGAAAATCTAGGAAACAATGAGAAACAACGATAACCGAATGAAAAAAATGCAATCGCTATCTCGTTTGTTTTTTTTTTTTTTTGTTTTTTTTATTCGATCTCGAGCATCATAACTGCTTCGCGTTACTGCACTTGCTACATGTAATAGATATTGTTGGGTACGAGGTGAGAGATAGGATAGAAAATGCACTTGTCTCTCTGCCACTGATGCCTTGGCTCGTGTATAAGATAGTAAGAGAAAGAGAGAGAGAGACGACGCGCTCCTCTGCGCCTCGTATACATATATACATCTCTACTCTGCGAAAGTGAAGATATATAATACCGTCTAACTGCAGGTGCACCGAGAGAGGCAGCGCGGCGACGCATTCACAGCTTACACACACGCATACACACATACAACACAGCTGTATACGATGCTATTGTGTATACGTGTGTGTATGTGTTTCGGGGTTTTCGCTCACAGCAAACTGCCATGGCATCGAAAAAGTTATCCTTTTCACGGGCTGCTGCTGCTGCTCTATGCTGGCGTTTCGAGATACACAACATAACGTATATATAATGACTTCTCCGAGTCGTAGAAGCTCGACGTGAACTATACACAGTATACATAGCGTTCTCTTGATTAGCGGAGTTTGATGGTGTTTCTTTGTGCGCGCCCTTTGTTAAACTGCCTGCCGCTGCCACTGCTGGGGGTTGATACGTATGTATAGATATATGTAGATACGGAGCTGCGTCGGCCGGAGCAAAGTTACGCGCTCGCTCGCTCGCGTCTGCGGGAAGAGAGGAATTGATGAAAAGGGACGAATCTTGATAAGGCTCAACCTTTAATGTATATATAGCCACTATTGTGTTGTCTCGGGAGCTTCTCGCTCTCTGTCTCTATCTCAGTCGCGCCGATACGCTCCTTTTCTTCTTTTCGTTCGTTCTCGAAGCCCGCGTTCAAGTTGTTTATTTACTTTTCAATGAAGGATTCCAATACGACTTGTTACTTACTGTGCTTCGAAAATTAAAGCTACGAACAGCAAAACTGAATTGAAATTAACGCGACTGCAGGGTCGACGGTGCGCGTGGTCGTATATATATCCTAGCGTCATTAAAAAAGGATCAACCGTGCGGCATATCCCACAGTGGACGGGTGCAAAATTTTCATTATTATTTCGCGATCTCTCGCTCGCTCGCTCGCTACATAGTAGGTGCTTTAAAGGCCTCTCGGCACTCGTTAGAGAGAGTGAGAGAGAGGGTCTTCGCAGCGCGGATAAGTATATTTGGAACAGCTGTTGTGTCGGAGTCTAAACTGTATACCACCGCCGCCACCGCATATATACGGAAAAGCAGCATTGGTGGTGGTGCACACACATGCAGCAGCGGCACGTTTCGCGGCTTTAGGTTCGAAATTAGAAAGTTCGGGGACAACGCGGAGTTGCAATAGCAGCGGCAGCGGCATGTGTGTGCTTATTTTGCCATATATATAGCTATATATACACCGACTGCCGTAAACGTCCTATACGTGCTTCCTCTCTTTATTCTTCTTCTTCTTTTTTTTTTTCTTTCTACTCCTCCCCCCGCCCAGTGCGATGCATATACGAGCGACCGTGCGCACGAAGGGATATACACGTATTATTTTTGAACTTCCGTTCGCTCGCTAGTATAGTCGATCCTTATCGCGCGCGGACAAGTAGTAACCCAAGTAATTAGAATGCTCGATGTTTTCTAGACTTCTTTACATGCGCGAGAGAGGGTTCGAGAAAGAAGTAGAAAAAAAATGCATAACGAGGGAAAAGAAGAATGTTATAGCAGAGAGAGAGAGAGAGAGAGAGAGAGAGAGAGAGAGAGAGAGAGATAGGGTAAAAAAAAAGGAGCGTAAGGTCTATCGATTTCCATTTGGCCTCGAAAAATGGAAAAAGAAAAAGAAGAGAAAAAAAAACGAGCGACGCGCGATACGAATCATGGGCGTTAAAAGAGCGAGAGAGGAAAAATTCAGTGGCATATAAAACTGCATCATTGAAAATACGGTTCTTTTATACACACAGAGAACACACTATATGGGATACCATGTATGTATCGTCGAGAAGAGAGAGAGAGAAATATTTAGCCGCTGTAAAATCTCTCCACTTACTTGGCCAATATTGCGCCTCGTAAAACGCATATATATCGTCTATATAAACACACATACATACACACACTCACAAAGTATATATATCTGTAACGCAATACAAAAGTGTGCCTCTGTTGCGAGCTTCGCTCGCGCTTCGAGCACTAACGTTCTTCTCTTTTTTTTTTTGCCCGCGTTCTATTTTCAAACGCTCGCGCGCGCGCGCACAGGCTCGTGGCGTAGTACATAGTGGAATGGCTAATAGATGCTTTTTTCGAGAGAAATACAGATACATAATAAATCAGCCTGTAAGATCTTTACACACACACATAGTGGCAAATTCGTCGATGTTTGCTTGCTTGCTTGCTCGCTCGCGCGCGCGGACGTGTTAATTTTTGCTCTTCGTTTATTTGCACTCGATGTTTATTCTTTCGTACTTCGACTTCTTCGCGATACAATACAACGACTGATAAGTCTGTTTGAGAACGTGGGTACTCGATCGTTACGTGCGTTCGGAGCTGCTACCGGATTGGATTTTGAAGAAGAAAAAAAAATTAATTATCGGCCACACAATGATAACGATCGGAGCGCATGCACGAATTCGAGCTTTTTTTCTCATTCACGCTCTAATAAGTGTGTATATTATTATATATGTATAAATCGGGTACAGTAGCGTGGGAGCTTTCGTCGTTAATAATAACCATAAATCTTCGATACACACGTATCGGCTGCTCTCTACTGCAATGAAGCACTGTGCATCGTTCATATTATTGCTCGAGTGCAAAAGCGCATTTCCTCGAATTCCGTACATACACACACACACACACGCACATGGATATATATAATGTGTAATATGCGCGAACGAGCTATACCAGCTAGCTAGCTGTGGCAGTACGCGAATTTCTCATCCATTAAGCGCACTTTAGCCGTCTGGCTATTTTCTAATTGATCAAGCTCGTGAAAAGAGAGCGAGAGAGAGCGAACCACGATGCACGATATGTATACAGCATGTGGAAAAAGGCAGAGAGAGAAAAAAATCGAGGATTATAAATCACGGATGCGGTATTCTTTTTTTTTCGAGCTTTATATATATAGTCGCGATCGATTGATTCGGTGCAATTATCCCATCGATGATATTTCCCCCCTTTTTTTTTATGTGTGGCCATGCGCAGGCACGAAAGACTGCAAGCATCGCACGAACCCCAAAAAAAAGAAAAAAAAAGAAGAGGGAAGAAGAAAACGCGCACGTGTGATAAAAAGGAGGTAGAAGAAGAGCGAACGATAAGAAAGAGGGTGGTGGTGGTGGTGGTGGCAGTAAGCTTTGTGTCTCGGGAGATCTGTGCGTATTACATATTATATGTACGTGTGCGCGTCTTTTGTCGCTCGTAATACCTACACGCGGCGGCCACGGCAGCAGGTTGTGCAACATAGGCGAAAATCCGAAGGCACTGCTCCTCCCTATATATGGTATATACACAAAAGAGGATTGAAAATTTGCATTAAGTCGTCGTAGTCGTCGTCGTCGTCGTCGTCGTCGGTGGCGCGCGAAAATGGGCTTCTTCATCGCTTGGCTCCTCTTCTTCCACCGCGTCCCTTTTTTTTTTCTTCTCTTTTTTATCGTATACGAGCGAGAACAAAAAACCGAGAGAGGGCTGCAAAGATGCGAGTCGCGCGCAGGAGGAGGAGGATGGAAAAAAAGTCGAGCGTCTGCGTATTTTTTTCCTCTACGCAACAGCGAGGTGACGTCGACGCGAGATGCACGCGCACAAGAGGGACGGATGAGTGATCTCGGCTCGTTGCGGATATCAATGTCTAGCCGAAAAGAAATAGTATAACTCATTAGCATGAATGGAAAAAAAATTACGTAAAATATCGTTCACGAGCTTCTTCGTTGCATCCGAGCTATCTATATTATAATGTATATTATACGTCTGCGTGCGTACGCGCGTAACGGCGCCACCACCACCACTACACCCGAGTGCCAATCATATAACAAAAGGGGAAGAGCAAAAAAAGAGATACAAAACAAGAACGTTGCGTGCGTATATCACATCCATATCCACACACACACACACAAGAGCCATGCAGAGTTCGTACGTCGAGATAGCTTGATCGGCGCGTCAATCACTCTCTCTGTATATATCCGAGAATCCGACTATCGCTCTCTGCGATTGAAATTCTCGAAAGCCCGCGTATTGCATTGATTTCCAAAAAAAAAAAGGAAAAAATGTATTGGGAAATTTTCGCGCGCCTGATTTATCATCGGCCGTATATATTGCATAAGCTCGAGCTCGCGCGCGAGCTTTTTTACGCGGAAGCTCTTTTTGTTTATATCGAGGCGCGCGATACATAATTGATGGTGATTAATAATAGACAAATCATCGCGCGCGGCAGCTCTCTCGGGCAGTTATATGACTTAATGGTCTTGCGAGCGCGAGCGCGAAGAATCGCCGATCGTTTTACGCCGCCGCATCATATTTATATTTATCACCGCGTCTGCCTACGTATAATAACGAAGCAATTGTGTATATATATATGTGTCCAGCGAAGTCGAGTTACTTCTCTCCGTGAGCTGTGTGCTGTTTCCTCGTATCGCATTCGCTTTTTTTTTCTTGAACTTGAAAAAAAAATTAATAATAATGAAAGAAGGAAGGAACGCGACGCCGAAATATCTCATATATCTCGCGCGCCTGAGCCGCACATATGCGTTCTGTTTCTTCTTCTTCCTCTTATTCGCTCCTTTTTTTATTCGACTGTAATCCGATGATGAGTCAGCGACGAGAATCAGGTGAAGTATCAAAAAAAAAAAAAGAAGAAGAGAATAAGAAGAATATTAACTCGACGTTTGTATTATGCACGTGCGCGACGATGTGGCATTGTATCTAATAATTCGACGCATCGTT